AAAATAAAACTATCGATACTATCGATAGTACCATCGAAAGTTTGAAACCTCTAGTGCAAACCAATTTATTACTTTTATACATGTTTTTGCAACCGATTACCGCGCACTTCATTTTAATTATATTTGAACAAAAAATGTATTGAAAATCGCTTATAAATCGCTGAAATTAACCACCGCCAAAATGCACATAAATAAAGAGATGCAAATAACAAAACAGAAATAGAAAGTCAAACACTTTTTTCTCAAAGGCTATTGAAAATAACTGCTTGTCAACCGGTCAGATCTATTCTAATTGGTTCATGCAGAGGGCCTGTGACAATCCCAGTGGGAAAGTTCTATGGCGAAACAACTTTTTACTATGGTGAGAAAATGTTACATTTCTGCTGTGACAAATTCGTAACTTTTTACTGCTTTATTGTCTTTACTGACTTTAATTCTTCTAGAACTGAAAGCCATGCATTTATTTGACGTCTTAGCAATAACATTAGAACTAAAAACACTTCAAGACCGTGAGGTAGGTGTGATTTTTTGTCAAGTTTTTCACTAGCTCTGCCGACTCAGAAATTTTCATTCCCCTATAAGAGTTCAGAAATTTATAATCCGGAGTACTTTTCTTTCAATTGGTACAACAGCTGGATTCCTACATTTGCTATCGCTCATTTTGTTTTCCAAAAGTCTCCAAAAGTATAGCAGACGCCCCTAAAAACACGCAACATTCAGAAATACTCTCCGTAAGTATTGAACGTATAACAGGCGCTTAATGGCTTCAAAAAATATGAGTGCAAACAGACCCTTACAAATTGTACTAGAGACTGTTGGCAATGTCGCAGGAAATAACTTGTCTTTCAGCCGTACGTAGCGAGCGCAGAAAAAGTACCCTGTTTTTAAAACTTAATTCTATAACTAAGTATATACGTATAAACACAAATATTTAATAATATGCACAAATTGCATTAAAAATTAACTGCTGATATATTAAGGTTGTCCCGTGGGAAGAAAATTAAGTTGGTGCCTTCAAGCAACAGAGGTGTTAGTAAATCTGTTACAAGTAGGGGTGGGCAGCGAGGATAGTAAAAACAAACGAGAACGCCTACTGAAAAGTAGCTATAAAGGAAAACTTAAATTATATTTAGATTCCAAATAACAAGGTATGATCAATATATGTCCATCTATTCATGCGTGGTATATACTACAGAATTATTACGCAAAATTTTCTTAAACATTTTAGCAAAATTAAGTTGAAAATACTGACAAAAATGTCTACATTAAGTGACACGCCCACGCAAGAAGAGATGACGTCAGCTGCAACGCCGGCGGTATTACCAACGAGTATGTGTGGGAGTGACTACAAAATACCTAATGAAAGTAACACACAAATCAAGGGATCGGTTGCTGTCCCTCCAGCATTGCAATCGGAAATAAAACACGAGCCGCCAGAAGAAATTTATGATACTCCACATGATATGTCAAATTCGTATGACACATATAATAATAGTAACACCAATAGTCCGAAAATTCGTCTTACGCCCACTATTAAACTAATGCCGCTGCCGAATCCTGTGGATCCTAAACGGAGGTTTGCTTGCCCCTATGAAAATTGCACGAAAAGTTATGGAAAAAGTTCCCACCTTCGTTCACATTTAACCTGGCACACTGGCATCAAACCGTTTGTGTGTTCGGAATTGAACTGCGGTAAGGGATTTACAAGATCCGATGAGCTTAACCGTCATTTGAGAACGCATACAGGAGAAAAGCCCTTCGAATGCATACAGGTGCGCAATTTATATGAGTATTTTCGTAATAATTAAAAAGTATTAAACATTTTATATAACTTTACAGTGTACAAAAAAGTTCGCACGTAGTGATCACCTTACTAAGCACCTTGCCACTCATGCAAAGCAAATGCAAAATAGCTTCAGCAGCGCCAAAAAGCCACGAACCCAAGTAGATGGAAACCGTACAAAAAAAGAAAGTTATGCGATTGAATCAGCCGATTCGAAAAATAACTTTGAGGATACCGATAACATAGAAAAAGAAATCCAATATGGGAACGGTATGCATTTTATGGCGACGCTTCAACAAAATCGCAGTAATGTAGAATCGAAAAATTCAACTGGATCCGAATCTAAGCCAATAGCTGAACATGTCACTGATGACGCCTTGCTTGATCATAGACCGATAAAAATAAAATTGGAACGGCCTGAAAACAGTAACGAATATCACGTTGTATCACCAGATACGAGAGTAACTGGTCTGTTTTCTAAGGCTCCGAAGGAAAATACCTCTAATTCGGGATCAGATTATCAATTGCCTAAATTGGCATCCCCAGTCGACGAATTCAAACCCGAATCACAGCCACCAAATTGTTGCACTTCCACAGAAATAAAAAAGGATCATAGTACCGTAAGTATATCAGCTGACGGTGCATTTATGGGATGGCCAGAGATCGGGAAGGAAAGTTTGGAGGAAACTCATGACCCACATCGTCCTTGGCGATGTAAGTTATGTACGAAATCTTTTAAAAGACAGGACGATCTTAATCGCCACCTTCGCACGCATACTGGAGAGAAACCATTCGCATGTGTAGCATGTGAGCGACGGTTTATGCGTAGCGATCATTTAAAGAAGCATCTCAAAACACATACTAATTTGCGGTAGTCGTATTAAACAAATGATTGGAATGTGTACAAAATATCAGTATGCATACATAATATGTAGGTATATTTAAATTTGAATCTGTCGTTTATAATGCATACTTTTGAGGGGTTAAATCAAGAAATAAACTGTTAGTTTTGTTCGTTTTTCGTTATATCCAACTATAGAAAATCGAAGCAAAATACAGACTAGCCGTTTTAAGTATTATAATTTTTATCTGATATAAAAATAGGCCCTTATAATATATACATTTATATGTATGTATGGGCTTGTTCGAGTCGCAATCAAAACAGCAGTGTTGGGCGAATTATTNATCTGTCGTTTATAATGCATACTGTTGAGGGGTTAAATCAAGAAATAAACTGTTAGTTTTGTTCGTTTTTCGTTATATCCAACTATAGAAAATCGAAGCAAAATACAGACTAGCCGTTTTAAGTATTATAATTTTTATCTGATATAAAAATAGGCCCTTATAATATATACATTTATATGTATGTATGGGCTTGTTCGAGTCGCAATCAAAACAGCAGTGTTGGGCGAATTATTAAAGTACCACATTCGGTGTGAATTTCTAGCAACGTATTATCTGTTGGCCAGTTGCAACAGTGTTCTAAATTTTCATCAGTAGCGCGGTAATGCCGATTTTATAACGTGGCTCGAACAGCCCCTATGTATTTACATACATATGTATGCATGTGTAAATAGAAAACGACACTTATTGCAAATATGTTAGTCGTATTAAGGAATACTAGGTTCTTAGTTTTTAGTAAATGATTATCTTTGTTTAAGTAATANTCGTATTATCTGTTGGCCAGTTGCAACAGTGTTCTAAATTTTCATCAGTACGGCGGTAATGCCGATTTTATAACGTGGCTCGAACAGCCCCTATGTATTTACATTTGTAAATAGAAAACGACACTTATTGCAAATATGTTAGTCGTATTAAGAAATACTAGGTTCTTAGTTTTTAGTAAATGATTATCTTTGTTTAAGTAATATCAAAAACAAATTAATTGTATTTAATCACATATATATATATTTTAAGTACAATAGCCGTAATAAAAAATAACCGCAAATTCTTTAGCACAAATTATTAAACTTGATTAAAACACCATTATTCGCAAAAGTTTAATACGGTGCCAGCAAACTAACCCAATTATTTTTCAAGCAAATTTGAATCAACCATATTTCCAAATTTCGTACACGCTGTCAGTAGTGCCTATCGAGCAGTGTTGTGAAAAATGCATTAAATTTTTTAATGCATAGCATTTTAATGTAAA